AAACATTCAGATTCTTACCATTTTAGCAAATGTATCCTTTTATTTCCCTGGAATACCACAAAACCTGTAGCTGTGAATCCTAAAAATGTTGTAGTCCCAGTTGAATCCTTAAGGATTTTAAGGAAAAAAGGAGTATTAATTAGATCTATTCCAGAAATATATACTTTTAGAATACAGTACCTCCTTCCATGAAGGCATTTCTACTTACAAAGTGAAATATAATGGAAGATTTTTAAATGATCAAAGAGATATTTGCAGTGGATTCATTGGCATGAAAGCAATTAGATATATCTTTCCACTTGCAAATTTTTAACCATCTTCCAAAGAAACATCACTAGAAAATGTATATTGAGCCTTTAAACTGCAGTCTCGAACACCATCAAATAATTTGATACCGATAAAAAAGCACTTGTGCTATATTATTGGAATGAGGTCAGCATTGAAATCAGATATGCCAATTTCTGATACAGAACTTTATGTCTCACTATGGCTTTTGAACAGAACCAAATATGTATTTTACAGCAAAACTGCTTTTTGAGTTCGCCTTTAAAAGCAATTTAAATGCGTGAAAAAATGTAAACTTATAAATGAAAACTATATCAATTTTCCTACATATTTTATTCTATTGTTTTATTAAATGTATATATCCAGCTTCTTGTAGTTATAAAAATTGCACAATCCACCCCACTAGAAGTGTCTGTCTGCCTGTTTATCCTGAATAAACTACGCAAACTGTATAAGCTGAAGCATGTAGGAGAGAGGTTTACCCAATGCTGAAAACAAAAAATACATTTAAAAAAAATCTTATATTATTATTTTTTTACCTTGCAAGGATGAGGATCAACACCATAGGTTTCTAAAGAATGTGCTCTTAATAATAAATTAAATTCAGCAATAGCTGGACTCTGACCCCTAGAAATCATGAAAAGAGAAATACTTTGTGATAAACTATGAACAATATTGGCTAAATAGGAAATAAGAAACTTTACATGTGATTCTGCTGCTACTCTGCCATAGAAACCAATTCCTTTGGATTAAGCCTATCTCCTGTTGACATATTTCAGGACTCCAGTGAGCTGTGCAGTTAATCAGGGGCTATCCAGTATCATTCAAATATTTTCTATCTTTTAATATACATAAGCAGTTGGAACATAATAAGGGACAAGTGTCAATCTTCATTTCCATCCATTTACTTCCTAAATTCCCTGAAAAGAATTGCTCAGATTAAGTTAATTTTTTCCTGTTCTTGAAATAAATAGGAGACTATGAAAAGACATTTACTTTTTATTTGACTAAACTATGTTAGTATTTTAATGGTCTACTTCACTTTCATATCTGTCTGCCTACCTACCTATGCATGTGTGTGTACTCACATACATTCCCTATAAACAACCTGGACAAGTAAACTAATTTGGTGACACACCTGGATGCTAACGTCAAGAATGTAATCTCTCAATTCCAATAGTACCTTTTCAGTGTAGGAACTTGTCCTTCTCATTTTCTGGTGTTAGCTCTGAATATAGCACAGAACAAAAGAGACTCAATTGAACAGCCCTTGAAGAGGGAATAGCAGGCAAAATATGAGGCCAATCCATTCATCAGAACATTCCACAGTTTATGTCAACTTTATAATCCAGCTTGGCTTGAATATTGATGAAAGATTCATAAAACTGAGGCACGGAATGGGTTGTCCTCTTTCGTTCTCTCCTTTACCCACATATCCAAAATTTCAGGTGTTAAATTTGTGCAACCAGAAGCAAATATCACTTTGCTATCAACTTGTATCAATGTATAAAAAATAAATTGTGAAAAACCTGGCACACAACTTTCTACTGAAGCTTCCACCTCCTTTCCTAAGGATCAACCAAGTGTGGTCTAAGTAAGAAAAAAGAGCATTTTGCAAGCAGGTACATTAATCATCCAAGATCTGGCTTGTTGGCAAATGAGGCAGTCCCAGTCCTCAGGATTCAAAAGCTGGGGCAACCAGAAATTAAGTTCTGTTGCTATTAGCATTTAATTATTTCTGTTATCCTGCAAACACAGACAATTTTTGAACAACAAGTGCAAGTTTATATACATTCTGGCAACATTACGCACTCAGCAATATCACACAAATTGTGAAAAGAGTACTGATATCATAATTAATATCTTTTGCTCAGGACCAATCTCTCCTATTGCCAGTCACCAGTGGTCCCTATATGTTTATTTCATCTGCACATTTTTCAATAATCTTGGAAATAGACACAGATTAATAAAGAACTTAGTGTGGCATTGCTTTTGATTTCCTGAATGCAAAACATACTGTACACTATGTTGTTGAAAGGCATTCTGATGGATCCAATTAAGATAGGATTTATTCTGTTTTGGGAGCCTCAGTTACATGCAACATTTACTAGTCTTTGGTAATTTCACTTATTCCATTAACTATAGCAGGGGTCACCAACCTTTTGAACCCCAGGGACCACCAACTCATAATTTTAGATCCCAGGAACCACTAACTGGTTCTGTGGGTGTGGCTTAATTTGTGGGTGTGGCTTGGTGGGCATGGCTTGTATGTAAATATTATAAATATTTATATAAATATTGATTTTTTTATAAAAAAGAGCAACTTTTACCTAAAATCAGGCAAAGCAGGCAGGCAGATTGAGTTGCTTACAGAATCACAGATTCATTCAGAAATCTATCTATCTGCCATTGGCTAGCTCAGTCATAAAATTTGCTAGCAAGCAAACTCACAAAATTAACTCACAACACACCATGCATGTAAATATTGATTTTTTTATTTAAAAAAAGAGCAACTTTTACCCAAAATCAGGCAAAGCAGGCAGATTGAGTTGCTCACAGAATCATTCCGTGATCTATCTATCTGCCATCGGCTAGCTCAGTCTCTCTAATTTGCTTGCCGTGAGTCTGCACTAAATTTGCTTGCAAGCAAACTTTTATGAACTGATAAAAACTATTTAATAAAAGCTTGTCAACCTTACAAGAAAAGCAGGCTCGTAATCCTGCACTTTTGATTGGCCCATGGATAGCGAGCTGTGATTGGTCCATACGGAGCAACCTGATTGGCTATTAGCTGAACATCTCTCATTGGGTACAATTCAAACGTTTGCATGCAAATCATTGGTTAACGGGTCAGCAGCCAGCTCTATAAAAGAGCTGCTGCTGCCCCGGGTTTTGTCTCTGTTTTCTTAATCGTAATAAAGAGTTGAAGTTCACTGTTCACTGCCTCGTCTCCGTTCCTTGCGCCCATGCTCAGAACATAACACTGGCGACGAAGGTGGGATACGGAGACATCAGAGCTGACTGAACACTTACAGAGCAACGAACAGAGCACGTGGCTGAAGAAGCACCTACAATGGCAAGATGTCCAGCGGTGCCATATCACCCGCTCCATTTGACCCGGCTAACGAAGACTGGGACATGTATATGGATCGGTTCCAGATGTTTCTGGAGACCAATAACTTAAAGGACGCTACGACCGGCAAAAAGCGAGCAATATTCCTGACCCATTGCGGGCCTGCCGTCTTTAAGATGGCGAAATCACTTGCAAAACCGGCTGAGGTGAAAACGATGGATTGGGACACCCTCGCGCCCCTTCTACGGGCCCACTATGCACCCGCAGTGCCGACGCTTGTCCGTAGACACGAGTTTTACCAGAGGGACCAACGGAAAAGTGAAAGTCTTGCAGACTTCATCGCTGACCTCCGGAACTTGGGTGGCCTCTTTGGGTTTTCAAACCTCGAAGAAGCCTTGCGAGACCGCATAGTTCTGGGATTAGATGACCACGCGGTGCAGAGCAAGATCATGGCCAAAGGGGACATCGATCTTGTAGATGCCATCGCAGACGCTACTGCAGCAGAAGCAACCACGAAGTCGGCCGCTCGAATGCGCCGCACCAACGCACCGCTCCGTCAACTCGCGAATGATACCTCGCCTCGCCCCGAGAGGCACTCAACAACGGCGCACCATGAGGACCTGGAATCCCCATCAGAAAGTGATGAGGAAGAGGTCAACCGACTCCGGTCCGAACGGGACCAACGAAACCAACGATTCCCGTGACAATGCGCGGGCTGTGGGGCAAACCACCCACGATCCGATTGCAAATTCCTCGACGCACTCTGCCGTTCCTGTGGAAAAAAAGGCCATATCGCAAAGGTCTGTAGAAGCAAGCGAGGTTCCAGCCCAAAGCGTAGGGAGAATAACTGCAGCCAGTCTACAGGATATTCTCCTGCGAATCGAGATCGCCAGAACCACCAATGGAACAACCACTCCTACAGAAACAAAACGTTCGCCACTTCCACTAGACGGGAAGAGACACACCAAACTATTACCATCGGCCACGCATCATCCCTAGACGCAAGGAAGATCCGGGTAAGGGTCGCCATCGAGAACCAACCTTGTATCATGGAAGTCGACTCAGGGTCGTCTCTCTCAATGGTATCCTGGAAGACCCTCCAACAACTAATCCCGGCTATCCGTCGTCAGGACCTCAGCCCCCAAAAGATCATACTCAAGGATTACCAGGGCAACAGAATCCCGGTCGTCGGTTCCAGCCAAGTCCAAGTCTCCTTCAAAAATCGTACCGCATCACTACCGCTAACCGTCGTCGATCGTGACCGGCCTAGTTTGTTAGGCCTACAATGGTTCGCCCCGCTCGGGATCGAGGTAGCCGGCGTCCACCGAGCCGAGAGCGACGACTGGGAGGAGTCTCTCGTCCAAGAATTCCAGGACGTTTTTTCAGAAGAGCTAGGCAAGTACAAGGGGACCCCAATATCGTTTAACCTTAATCCTGAAGTAGCTCCCATCCGCCTTAAGCCGCGTTGGGTGCCTTTTGCATTAAAACCAAAGATCAATGAGCAGCTCGATAAATTAATAGCCCAGGGTGTCTTAGAGCCAACTGACCACGCCCGTTGGGAAACCCCAATTGTAACACCCATTAAACCAGATGGATCGTTAAGAATATGTGGGGATTATCGGGCCACCCTAAACCACGCACTTCAGCAGAGTGCTTACCCGGTGCTGGTGGTTCAACACCTTCTCCACTCCCTGGGTGGTGGGAAGATATTCGCTAAATTGGATTTAGCACAAGCGTACCAACAGTTGCCCGTAGATGCGGAAACTGCGGAAGCACAAACTATCGTTACGCATAGAGGCGCTTTTAAGTGTAAAAGACTCCAATTCGGAGTGAGCGTAGCTCCGGGAATTTTACAAAGTTTGATGGAGAGACTTTTACAAGGCATAAAAGGGGTCGTGCCATATTTTGATGATGTTTTAATTGCCGCCCCTAATAGAGATATTTTAGAAAAGCGTCTCAGAATGGTTCTACAGAAATTTAAAGACGCCGGCCTGAAGGTTAAAAAAAATAAATGTCAACTGTGTACTGAGAGGGTGGAGTTCCTTGGATACCTTCTCGATAGTCAAGGAATCCATCCTACTGATAACAAGCTAAAAGCAATTAAAAACGCCCCAACACCTAAAAATAGAACAGACCTCCAAGCCTTCTTGGGGCTCATTAACTTTTACAACATCTTCTTGCCCCAGAAGGCGACCGTAGCTGAGCCCCTACACAGACTTCTCGACAAAAGAGCAACCTGGGTCTGGGGACATCGAGAGGAACGCGCCTTCCAACAAGTGAAAGATTTACTAACCTCCGACGCTGTATTGATGCAGTATAACGAGACTTTACCCTTAACTATTACATGCGACGCTTCACCGTTTGGAGTAGGAGCAATCTTAAGTCATGTGTTACCAAACGGAAATGAAGCACCTATCGCGTTTTTCTCACGAACATTATCAAGGGCTGAAAGAAACTATAGCCAACTCGATAAAGAGGCCCTTGCTGTTGTATCTGCTGTGAAACGCTTTCATGAATATGTGTATGGACGAGCATTTACTATAATTACGGATCACAAACCATTACTTGGTATTATAGCGGGAAACAAGCCAACCCCCTATATATTATCGCCAAGAATGACTCGTTGGTCTGAGTTCCTAGCTGCCTACAATTATCTGTTGCAACATCGCCCGGGGAAAGCCATTCCCCACGCTGACGCTTTAAGCCGTTCCCCACTTCCGGAAGCCGTCGACGACCCAGCTCCAACCCTCACGACGCTCCAAATCGAAACGCTGAACTCGCCGCCACTATCAGCGAGAGACATCGCCATCGAGACAAAACGGGATCCTGTCCTGGCACAAGTTCTCAGCTGGGTCGAACGAGGATGGCCAGCCGACCAACTCCACGACGACTTCGCGCCATTCAAGAACTGGCAGACAGAACTTTTCTCCCAGAAAGGCTGCGTTCTCTGGGGGGATAGAGTCATTGTCCCAGAGAGGCTACGACAGACTGTTTTAAAAGTATTACACGATGGACATCCGGGCATCGTGCGCATGAAGGTGCTCGCACGAAGCTACGCATGGTGGCCGGGCATCGACAAGCAGATCGAAGCCTGGGTAACCACGTGTCGGAAGTGCCAAGACGTTAGCAATGCCCCACCTAAAGCAACGCCAACCGAGTGGGAAACCCCTCGGGGTCCGTGGTCCCGCATCCACGTTGATTTTGCGGGACCCACCAAAGGACACATGTTTTTATTAACAGTTGACGCCTATTCCAACTGGTTAGAAATCTATAAGATGAAGACAACCACAACGGAGTCAGTTATACACAAACTAAATAAATTATTCGCAACGCACGGGTTACCAGACGTTTTAGTTTCTGATAACGGGCCTCAGTTCACTGCCCTGGCATTTGAACAGTACCTAGCGGACCGGGGCATCCGCCATGCACTAACCTCGCCAGCGCACCCTGCGGCCAACGGAAGGGCGGAGTGAATGGTCCAATTCGTCAAAAAAATCCTACATAAAATGGACTATGGGGACATCGACGACAAGCTGAACCGAATACTCCTTCTTCAACACATCACCCCACACAGCATCACGAATAAGACTCCTGCCGAACTGCTAATGGGGCGGAAACTTCGCTCCCACCTCGACCGTCTACATCCTTCTTATTCACCGGAAAAACCTTTCGGATCTAGCGGGAAGTGCCGCGAATTCAATGTAGGCGACTTGGTGTTTGCTAAAAACTTTTCTGGCGACCCATTATGGGTCCCTGCAACCATTACCCAAACCACCGGCCCCAGATCCTACCGCCTACAGACTAATGACGGGAGAGCGTGGAAACGCCACATAGATCAGCTTCGATCCAGATTGCCACCCATTTCCCGCGACTCCCCTAATTCGCAAACTGAGGGGGGAGGAGATATCGAAGGGGCCGAAAACGAAATAGATGACGACGTAATCAGGGGGACCCAGCAACCCAACCAAAGAAACGCGCAATCTGCAGAAGAATCAGGGAGCGGGGTGGCCTCGCCATGGGGAAATAACACGAGGGAGGCAAGCCCACAGGACCGGAAGTAAGCCTAGGAGACTGGGATAACAACAACGATAGCCGCGCCGAGTCCTCCCGCATGGAAACGGAACTAGCCGTACCAGAGAACCTTGAAAGCGCTCCACCGGAATCGGACTGCAGACAAAAACCGGTGGAGCAGCGCAAATCAAACAGGCAGGTAAAACGACCTGCATATCTACGCGAATATGTTACCACAACCCTCAAACGGAACCTAGGGGGGAGGGGTGTTATGAACTAATAAAAACTATTTAATAAAAGCTTGTCAACCTTACAAGAAAAGCAGGCTCGTAATCCTGCACTTTTGATTGGCCCATGGATAGCGAGCTGTGATTGGTCCATACGGAGCAACCTGATTGGCTATTAGCTGAACATCTCTCATTGGGTACAATTCAAACGTTTGCACGCAAATCATTGGTTAACGGGTCAGCAGCCAGCTCTATAAAAGAGCTGCTGCTGCCCCGGGTTTTGTCTCTGTTTTCTTAATCGTAATAAAGAGTTGAAGTTCACTGTTCACTGCCTCGTCTCCGTTCCTTGCGCCCATGCTCAGAACATAACACAAACCTTCAGTCCTAAGGGAGGTTCAGCTGTGCTTAGCTAGAAAGCAAGAAATCCAACCGTTTCCTGCTTCCTAGCTAATCTAAATCTCACAGCACAGCAGAACATATGATGGTCAGAAAAAGGAAAAATAGCAACTTAGCAGACAAGTTTCACGGGTAAGGAGTGAGTAGGCGGGGAGGGTTCCCGCAGGCCATGTGGGCAGCGCAGCCTTGTGTTTCTGTGCAGCCTGGATTAATTGCTTTGAGGGGGTGCTCTGGGGATGAGATTTCTCTGTGGCCCACCAAAATTTTCTCACAGCCCACCAGTGGGCCACAGCCCGCCGGTTGGTGACCGCTGAACTATAGCATTGTCTTCTGATGGCCAAGGATCTTACTTCAAACAGGCACTTATTTTCAGTCCATCTTCCCTCATACACATCCAACTATCCCTTTGCAGTATAGGGTAATATTTCCTATCTTGCTTCCAAGGTGAATCTGCCTCAGAGTGGGAGGGCAGTTTCCTCTCAAATACTTTCCTCCCCCAGCTATGTCTTCCAAGAAGCTTTTATTAACCCGCTGATTTAAGGAAATCAGCAACATGTGTTTGAATTGATTCTGTCCTGAGAACCTAAATCCTGTTGAATTCTTCCACAGAAGTCATGAAATTTGTGCCAATAGAGCATTTTCTGTACCCTCTCTGTAACTTAGATACACAGTGGACTTCTGATTGAAAAAGATGGAACTGCCTTCTTCGAACGGTTTTTAAAGTCCAGAGATGGTAACATCTATACAGATTATGGCTGGTGTTTATTTTTATAAATAAGTTTGACAGAGCAAGATATTTTTCTTCTGTTTACAGAGGGTAAAAAACCAATTTACTTACTGTAGTGTAAAGTACAGTAAAGTAAATATTGTAACAACTTATGCTAGCAACTTTTTGTATCCACCAACATGCTTTAATCCCAAGCATATTTAGGCATCACTACATCTGGACTGCAAAAAAATTTCCATGATTGATGGATGGCAGCAAAGAGAGTTTTCTGTGTTTTTGCTCTCTAGTGGATGTCCCCATGTTTATAGTTCAGTCTGATAGCTTTAGTTCAGCCACAGACTAACCAGACTGAAGAATTAAGCAAGATATTAGAAAATATCATTAAAATATAGATGAAATAAAATCAATGTATGTGCACTATGATGTTTGGCATCTTATATAAACTATGATTGTAACAAATAAAATACTAGTCCTAGACAAATAATAAAAACAAATGTAGAAGAAAAAGGATCAAAGTAGAAGAATTGGAAGCAAAAATTGAATCAAAAGAGGAAAATTTAGATTGTTTATCTGAAGGACATTATTTATATTACATATCTCTTTGTGACAGAATAAACTTTTTACCTAAATCTTTTTTTCAATAGCAGCAAATAGTGTTTCAACAATAAAAATCATTGTATCTTGAAGCAGTTATATATAAAAAGGTCTAATTATAAAATTGTAAATTAGCAATATTTCATCAGACTGAAGGACAATTTTCTAATCATTTTTGCTAGTGACAAATTGGAAACTTCCTCTTATAGAAATAAAAGCACTACAGAAAACGTTCCTATTTTTTAGAGATTGAATTAATCATCTAACGAATAGCATAGAATAAAAATCTGACCAACGTAAAAGCAAAGATACTTTTCAGATTTTCCACTGTCATCTTAAAATACTAATACCTTCGTACACTTTCAAACATGGAAATATAATTTATTAATAATCAAACAATCCATTCTGATTCTGAAAACTGAATTTAAATCCTTATTAGTGCATGCTTTTAATATTCAGTTTTATAAACAGGTAGTCCTCGCTGAATGATCAGTCATACAACTGTTTGAAGCTGAACAAGGTCCTCATAGTTGTAGCTGCCTCGCACCCCTATAGTCATGTGACTGCAATTCAGGTGCTTGGCAAACAGCTCATTATTACAACATTGCAACAGTCACCTAATTGTCACGGGGACCTTCATTGCCAGCTTCCGGCAAAGTCAATGGGAATATGGAGTTATCAATGGTGATCACCTGACCTTGGGACACTGCAACCAGGTAGGATTTGCATCATGACAGCAACTGAGACTGCCCCACTGTTTGATACATAGCACTTTTTACTACAGAGGAGAAATGTTTCTCTATTGTAGATCAAATTCAAAAAGAAAAAAAAACTATATGTAAAAGCATTAGCAGTATCAGAACAGTCATCCCCAGCACATAGATAGGGATACAGAATTAGCAGTGCCTGAATTACAGTTGCCAGCAATCCCATTTATCATCACCAAGGTGAGGTGAGGGAACCTGAAGTTATAATTCAACAACATCTGGAAAGCCACAGAATCCCAACTCTATTGAAACAAATGAGTTACCTTTGTATTGTATCATGTCTATAATGTAGCAGTCATTCAGTAATTTTAGAGATCTACTTTTTAAAATATCATGCTACACTTTCTCCTATTAACCTCTTGACTGTATTAATTATATTGCACCTATATTGTAAGTCGAAAGTCCAAGGGAAAATAACAGATTTACTAAAAATAACTAAATAATGTCCGTAAAAGGCAATCTAATTACCTGAATTCATTTTTATGTATTTCACCAATTTTTCTTTCCAGCTTTTGAGATTGTTTAGGGAAGATCTTAAATTCACTGACATAATTATCCACATGTTCGTCAGAATCATAATCACCTAATTCAGCTGTTTTGGAAAAAGTAAAACAGATAGGAAAAACCAAATACATTCTTACTAAACAAGGTTCAACACTGGAAATGCACTATTTACAGTTCACATATAAATGGGTTTCACTGAATAATCCCAAAGCTCTGATACTTATCTTTTAAGTCTTTATATTAATCTTTCGAATATGGATTTCTGAAATATCATTTTTCCCCCAATTGAAAGATATTTATATAGGAAAGTCAATTTTGTAATCTTTTTCCAGGTTCCCCTAGTTTAGCTATGCCAGTGGCCTTTAAGGAAAAGGATCCATGATTGTAGGCCCTCATCTTTAAAATACTTTCCTCGGGTTTTCAACTATATTCAGTACCATGCAAACACCCTTTTCAATCTATTCTGTTGCAATAAGTTTATAATTCTGTGGGATTTTTTTGTTTACTGGTTTGGCATTGTTTTTTGCCCCTATTGTCTCAAGCTGTGTTAACTGCTGCAGGACATTTACATTTTAAAAATAAAGCAAACATATTAATTAGTCAAATTTTATAGTAAAGCATAGCAAGGAAAACAAGGGACCACATTCATTCAGATTTTAACAAGAAGATTATTTTATTTAAGACCCTTTATTCAATTTATGTATTATTAAATCTCATTAGGTGGTTTCCTAATTTAAAACACACAATGATAAAACTATAGTTCTTTTACTTGCTTAAAGAAACTGAAAAATTGGAGCAAAGTTTCATTTCTCAACAAGAAAAAAATCCAATCACATCCAATACTAACTAAATAAAATATCTGATCAATAAACATACAGATAAAATAATCATCACAAAACTTACCTCTTATCATGGCTCTGCAATACATTGAAATGAGGTGTTCCACAACATGAAAGGGCTTAGATGAAAAATGAAAGTAGTAGCTTCCTCAAAGGATTTTCTTAATTGTTTCCCTGTGCATAACCACTTTGCTTCTCTTTCTTCTCAAAGTGTACATACCCACCAAATATCTAGTTTTTGAAACTACCACACAGATCTCACAAAAGACATGGCAACTCTGGGAGTTGAAGTCCACAAGTCTTAAAGTTGCCAAGTTTGGAGACTTCTGGCCTACTGTCTAACTTACATACCTACTTATAAGTAGATAGGATCCAAAGTGTAATTCATTTATCTTGGATACAACTCTATTAATTTTAAAATTGTGCTATTACAATGCCCTGAAGTAAAGTACAGTCTTTTCACTTACCTTGAATAATGCATCCTCCCAGGTAAGCAGCATCAGAAAACCCACAAAGCAAACGGCCATGGAAAATATCTCTTTTGATTTGGAGGTATAAAAGGTACCTGCATTTTGTAAGGAAAAAGATTTCTATTTTTATTTTCTCCCCTCCTCTCTCAATAATTGTAGTTTACTCATTATCATATATTGGATGAAAACGCCACAATGAGAACAGCAACACATCTAGAAGGCACTTTATTAGGAAAGTCTAAACTATAACTGTAAAGTAATGGAGAAAAGAAAATGAGAAAGAAAGAAAGAAAGAAAGAAAGAAAGAAAGAAAGAAAGAAAGAAAGAAAGAAAGAAAGAAAGAAAGAAAGAAAGAAAGAAAGAAAGAAAGAAAGAGAAAGGAGGGAGGGAGGGAGGGAAGGGAAGGGAAGGGAGGAAAGAAGGAAGAAAGGAAGGATCACTTCTCTACTTACCATACTATATTTCCAATAAAGAAAGAAAATAGTATTAGAAGCATTACATCAAGTTGCTATGTCTGGCTTATAACATATCTATTACAATTTTAAAAAGACAACAACCATATACGGTATGGTATTGTCATTATGAGAAAACACTAAGAAATGTATACCTTCTATCTCTGTCTATGCATTCAAATTATGTTTTCTATTTTAAATAGATTAGACCTGTATTGTGTAGTTCAAAATACTAAGAAATTTGCATGAAGAAATAGTCATATGGTTGCTCAAAATGTCCTTAAAGCAGAAGCAGTTATAGAAGGTTGATATTTTGACTAGAGGAATAGTGAGAAAAAGACTGCTTATCCTTTCTTCCCTTAGGCTACTATTTGGAATCAGAAGAGAAAGGATGTTTTGTCTCTGGCAGTTAGAAAAAGTAGTTGCAGACAAGATCATTTATGTAATAGTGACAAGGAAAAAGATTAATCATAGCTTGCTTAACAACCACAACTGGAAATATAATCTCAGTCATTGAACAAAGCAGGAATTAAGCTAGACACCAGGTCACTGCTTCATTCAATAACCCATGATCCCAACATTCCCAGTTACAGTCATTATGCAATCTTATAGATAGTTAAGCAAAGGCACAGAGCTAAAATCCTTCTCTCCCTGCCTCTCTGTGCCTGCAGAGCCCCAAAACACGGAGAGGCAAGGAGATAAGGCACAGAGAGGCAGGAGACAAGTATTTTAGCATGCAAAGTTTGGTCCAGTGGTTAAGGCACTGGGCTAAAAAGCAGACTGTAAATTCTGGTCCCATCTTAACCACGAAAGCCAGCTGAGTGGCCTTGGGTCAGTCATGCTCTCTTAGCCCAACTCACCTTCCAGGATTGTTTTTGTGGGGAAAATATGAGGAGGAACATATGTTGGATATGTTTGTTACCTTAATAAAGGCAGTGCACAGATAAATACAGGCTCACTGGAGAAAAGCCCAATGCTTGGAACGACTGAAGGCAAAAGAAGGGGATGGCAGAGAATGAGGTAGCTGGATGGAGTCACTGAAGCAGTCGGTGTGAGCTTAAATGGACAGGAAGTCCTGGAGGAACGTTGTCCATGGGATAGCGATGGGTTGGATATAACTTCACGACTAACAACAACAACAGATAAATAAATAAACCCTTTTCTCCCTGCTTCTCCATGTCTTTTCTCTCTATGAGAGAGTCCTTACAGCAAGTGAAAGCAGCTTGTAATTTTCTTTGCTGATTCTCCCACTAACTTTCTAGGCAAACCAGCAAAATAAATTACAAATGGCAATCACATGACTGCACAGCATTTTAACTGCCTGGAAGCACTAATAGGTTGTCAAACACTCAGACTGCGATCACATGTTTATGGGAGTTTTGCAATGGTCAGGAGTGCTTTACTAGCCATAAATCATCCTTCTCAAAAGGGAAACAAAAGTTTGTTAAGCAACCAGTCACTAAGCAAGTTCTATCTGTATTCTGTCCATTAGAATTATCTGTTCAAGGACACATACTTCTGGTTGCTTTGAGTTGCTAGTGTTTAACTAGTCAACTTACTGTATGCCCACTTCCTAATAACAAGAGAGAGTTCAACTGTGGAAACAGTGAATTAGAGACATGGTGAACTTCCCTTTATTGAATGTGCTATCTTTGGAACACCTTTGGAAAGATAGTACAGTGTTATGAAGACAGCATAGCTTTACAAAGGCTCAGAGAGCCATGTGTACTGTCAGAAACATTCTCCTGAGAAGCTAGGTCAGAAAAGAAAACAGCAAAAGGTGGAAAGTCTGTGCAAGGAATTAGGAGACAAGGCAGCTGGGCAAACAAATACTTGGTAGTGCTTGCTGGTGAATTGGGCTGGCCTGGGGAACAAGTGAATGCTTGTTGATATTTGCTACGCATGCGGAGCCACGTGGTTCTGGGGAGAGAAGGTAGTTGAGCGAATGATTGTCGGTGCTTGTTGGAGTGGACTGAGGTAGCTGAGGTTTCCCAAACAGTGGCAAATAGCCCCAGAGCTGCACAAGAGAGGGTGCAGGGTGGCCAAAATGTTATAGATGGGGGCAGATAGGCAAGTGGGGGAATTGGAGACAGTCCCTTACTTTAATGAGACTTGGGGAGGAACCAAATCTGGCTTGAATTGGGATGGTTACTCACTTAATGACCCATGATTCTCAGATGACAACTGCAATGGGGAACGTCGGGATTTGCTGTTGTAAGTCGGTACAGTTCCTTGCTTTAAGACAGCACTGAGTTACGACTGCAACCCCAGTCACAATTGTGGTTGTAAGTCAAAAACAACCTATAAATGGTATAGGACTAGATAAATTAACTACTTTATAATTAGTCATACTTGAATTTTCTCACAAAAAAAGTGAATGATCATCCAGATCAGAAGGATTCACCAAGCTTAACACTTTGATGGTGTATGTGCTCAGTTTTTCAGGATTCCCTCAGTTTTGTGTCCATTCTGAAACCCTTTAAAAATACTAATTTTAAAAATGCAGACCAAATTTTAATTGAAGAAGAAAAAAATAGAAGAAAAAAATACTTGAGTTAGATTAATAATTACTTAATCCATTAAATATACATTTTTCTCTTCACGCATAATCAATCAATAAATTTTATTAGAGCCTAAGTCCTGATTCAATCAAAATATCTAATAATAGAAGCATTTTAATATGTCTGTCTGTCTGTCTATCATCTGATAAACAATAAGTATAATAGGATCTAAAAATAATTCAGAGCAAAAATATTAAAATCAAAATACTATTATAAGAAATAACAAACCTAACTACGGCATATTATGCATAGATAGCACAAAACTGGGTGACTTTGGAGGATATTTTTCAGTCTCTTCACTCTAAATTAGTTTTCAAGCAAACCCATTAAGATTACTATGGTAGAAGAAAGTAATTCCTCATATATATGCTTAAACCTAAATACAAATACAGTATATGAACACCAAATTCCCTGAATTATTCTAGCTTTGTGTGGAAATAAAATACATGTACTAGGAAATTTATGTGGCTTATTTGTCAGCAGTGTTTCAGATTGGTTTTGTCAACTTTCACCTCAACCTAGCACATTTTAGAAACAAAATAAAATAAAAATGGTCAATAAAGAGTTATTGCTACAAACACTAAATCCCCCCAAACTAATAACTGAAATCAGAAAGACTTTACTTTTTCCTATCGATTCTAAATGAAAATGGAATTTAAAGTGAGTCAACGTTTGCATTTTCTTTACAAAATCTTTAGAAATACTTCCTTAGCACTGTCAGCGAAAAGCACAAATTATTTATTCACAATGTGCTGTCTAAATAAAGTAACATGCTTTGGACAGAGATTGTCTTTGAGGATGTCAAAGTTTCATATCTAATGCCTGCTTGATATTCTGACACAATAACCAACTCATAATCCCCATTTCCATCCTCAGTTTGGAAAGCAAAATTTATAGATGAAGAGGACTTGACTTTTCACAAAATGTAATACGCATGGTGTTTTTTTTTCAAATGAGGTTTTTAAATTTTGCTGTTTCTATTGTACCCAGAGGGAAGAGTCAGTACAATGTTGATAAAGCAGTTTTTATTGATCTCATAGGGCCTTTTATTTATAGCAAATGTATCATCATTTCTGGTACCCATTCAACATTAATTTAAAAACTTTTCAGAGTAATTTCTAGAATCTCTGAAAAAAATCATGTCAGAATTCCAGTTTATATCTCTTTGGGATTAGAGTACAGATCAAAGCTGTCATACTAATTTAACCCTACAAGATTGATCTAAAAATGATCTAAAAAGCACTATTTAAAAAGATCAGTCTTTTTAAATGTTTGTAAGTCTTGTGAAAAGCTGACAAAGTTGTACCTTCCTAAACAGAGAAGTTGCCTTTTAATCACAAATATTCTGTCCATCTCCCTGAAATTTGGCAGATATGATATCTCTAGGACACCATCTAAAACCGGTAAATTTAATTTGATTAGGATTTAAAATGTTATGTTTCCTGTAGCAAATAAACTGTAGTTCAAATCGTTGTTCAAATGTAGGAAAAAATAAATTAATTAATTAAAATTTTCTTAGCATATAGAACGATTGATGATGCAGATTATGTATATCTCCTTTGGGATCTTATGTTGTCCTACTTCCAAACTGCTCTGAAATAATTTGTCATAGAATTATATATGGAACCTATGTAATATAGGTTCCATGGGGATGAGATAGTAGCTATGTTTTCATTGTTTCATGACATATTCTTCTTATTTTTTTATTTCCCAAAACTATGAAGAGTTCATATTTCATTTCTTTAATGCAGATCAGTATTTCTTAGAGCAATGCATTTCTTTAGAACCTATTGTTAATCTCTCCTGATCCAAATGCCATTTTCCCCATCTGCTTCTGTTCATAGCAGATACTTTGCTGGTTTAATTATTTGTTCACGTAGTTCTAATGTTGCTCTTGTACAAAATTAGGAAAGTTCAGGATTTTTTAATGTGTGAATAGTTCATGAGATCACTTGTCTAAAATAGCAAACTATCTCATTATGCAGGTGTATGGAATGAGATGATATAACCTCTACTGCTCATTAGAATGTTAAGCATTAATTCAAGGCATTTTGAAACTAGATTTCCTGCCATGAGCTTTGCCTCCAGAAACACAGCCTTTTCAGTGGAATTGTCAGCCTAGGCAAATTGTCCCTTCTCAAAGTGCTAAAACAGTTGCCTATCAGGTATATAAACAGATAACATTTCAAGCTTGCTTGTTTTCTTGCGGATGTTTCATTACCCAAACATCAGTGCTAGTGTTACCTAGTTTGAGTAATGAAACTCTTGCAAGAAAACAAGCAAGCAAGCTCAGAGAGCACCAAGGACCCTCATGTCAACCCTGAGCTACAAATATTCTCCTTTATTAGGTAACCCTTCTTCCAAGACTTCCAAGATGAAATGATTGTACATTCACACATTTGAACAGAAAGCTAGGAACAGCCTTTGAACCAGCTGCACAAGCCTTTCAAAGGATGTAGCTGCTTTAATACTTTAAGGAAGACTACTTCTTTCACACCCATAAACTTTGCAAAGCCCCTCTTTCTAATATTTTGCACAGTTCTACATATGTAATGCTTAATGTCAGCAATTTTACATTTCTATTACTTTTTGTTAGTACAGCAGCAATCAAATTTCGTTCCATTTAGTTTTTTCACCAATTATCATGTTATATGCATATTCCATCTAAAAATAAAGGCAGTAACAGCTTTGTTTATATCTTACTTGATGGAGCAAACTGAGAAACAGATACAGACTATCTTTTAAATGAGAATGTGCCTAATATAGGCATTAATAATTAAATTATTATCTTAATACCAGTATATATTTTAATGTAGTTCTAATATCTAACATGTCTATGTGTGACACACATACAATTAATTTGAAAAATCTCATAAACTGTTCTTTAAATCCTAGAAAATATGTATAAAACTAAAAGCCAGCAAAAAAGCACAGAAGTTTACTAAAGCACTAAATGCATGGACAGGACAAAAATACCTGGTAAGCTCTTCCTTAATCTTCAGGGGTTCATGCGGGTAGAATTTCACTCTAAAGCACATGGTATATGGTGGATGAGCTGAAACATTATATAAAAAAAAGCATGAGCACAGCTATATAAAACACGACTTCTTGTGAGATGCAAGTTATGAGATGCAGTGCATTAAATTAAGGAGAAAAAAAAGCAAATGATAAATAACAAAGCTCAAAGTATGGCACAAAATTCAAAGCAGAAGGAAGCTAAAACTTGTTAACGCAGAGATTTATATCACACTGTAACTTTTATTTGACGGGTTTATACAAAAATGCTCCTAATTATTCTGTCTGTCGGGATTGAATACAAAAAAACAGAGTTGGAAAATGTAATTATCAAACCAGAACCCTGCATCCTAAACTTAAACAGGAATGCAATAGAGAAAGACACTGACTTTGCCACTAAGGACAATTCAGGTAACCTTCTAAGTAATTTAATATTTGTTGCAGTTATTATTAAGACTATTAATTTCACATATTTTATCAACTACAGAATATCAATTGATTTACCGTATCTGGTGATCAGTATCATTTTGAAAGTAGAAAAGTATATCTTATGAAATATGATTTGTATTATTTATTAACATGGTTACTGCTATTTTATAACAATTTACAGATTGTTTATTCAATGGGAAAATATAAAGACTGTACCAATGATAATACAACCAGTATTTTGCAACTTATTGATAATGCAGCACTATGCATGTTTACTGAAAAATAATCTTAATCTTCCATAAAGTTCAATCTTTATAAGTGTTACTAAAATCTTCACCACATTCATTTTTGTACACTACAAGAGTTGTACACTAGAAGTAGTCCTCATTTAGCAACCACAGTTGAGATTGGCAACCTGGTTGTTAAAATAAGCAGTCAATAAGGAAAACCATGACTGTGCTTATGATCTTCTTACTTCAGTTTTACTTTGCTTTATAGACCTGTGAAGGTCATAAATGTGACGATTGGTCATAGAGTTGCCTTTCCATCACTGTTGCAACTGCACAGTTGCTAAACACAGCAGTCATTAAATGAGGACGATCTGTACTGACTTTTTGTGTGTGGGGTTAGTTGAGAAATAGTTAATTGGCTTTGTGACAGATAAACATTATTGCATTATTATTTATCAATATTTAACTGTATGATTACCATGCTACTCTTTTTTTTTTTTATCATAATGAGACATAGTACCCAGACCCAATTTACATGCCAAAGCCTGGTCTTCTTTCATGGAGAAAAAATGTTGCCTAATGTATGGTTCTCGACAGGGGGACAAAAAGGGACAAGCAATGTCATCATCATGTCACCTTGCAAATACAGGAAGTCCTCGACTTACAACAGTTCGTTTAGTGACCATTCAAAGTTATAATGGCACTGCAAAAAGGGACTTGACCATTTTCACACTTATGACTGTTGTACCATCCTCGTGGTCACATGATCAAAATTCAGACACTTAGAAACTGATTCATATTTATGATGGTTGCAGTATCCCCGGGTCATCTGATCGACCTTCTGACAAGTCAATGGGGAAATCAGATTCACTTAACAACCGTGTTACTAACTTAACAACCGCAGTGATTTTCTTAACAACTGTGGCAAGAAAGGTCATAAAATGGGGTAAAGTTCACTTAACAAATGTCCCAAGAATGAGATTTCAATCTCCCTACAACCATAACTGTGGACTTATTAACAAAGCAAGTAAGAATCCTATACGTAAAATGTCTTACGCAGCTACTAAAGGTTATGCAGTAGAGAAAATTGTTCCAAGTAGATGCATTCATTTTCATCATGTATCATATTGCTTCCTATTCTTCATATATTGCTTTTCCTTCCTTCCTTCCTTCCTTC